GAAGGAGGGTGGAATTAATGAAATTCCCGCGGTCCCATAATATAGCCGAGAAGCAAACCAACGGCATAGCGCGCCGCTTGAAATGTAGTTCGACGATCATCAGTAGGTACCGGAGGCGCCACGAGTCATCTCGATTCGAGGAAAACGGTTGAGTCGGTAAAACGGAATTATTTTTGGATCTCGTCCAATCTAAGAGGATTATTCGATCCTGCCATCGGGCCACCCACGCTCCGCTGACAATCCTTTCTCACCAGAGTAATCCTTTCTACGATGCAACGTTTTCACTCAACCGAGAACCTTTGGCTTCAATGTAGCAAATTGAAAACAACGTTTCCATACCGATCTACGATTATAATTTTAAGCATTTTTTTAAAACAACTAACGCGTAGAATGAAAACGCTCCTTTTTTTAAATCAATCATTTGATAATTAGTTAAGATACTTTGTAGTTTGAACGAAAATGATGCAAACAAGTAACGCGAGGTGCCTTCGAAGAATTTCTTTCAAAGGAAAGGTATTTTTTAATTTCGCGCGTAGAAGGTATGGTCAGTTCACCGAGATATTTTCATCAAGGTCGACGTTGTTGGCTCCCTTCTCTCACCCGTGATTTCTTTCTCGTTCTTTTTCAATGGTGCAGTCTTACATCCCTCTCTCTTGAACTCTTTTAGGCGCAAGTGCAATCTCAACCAAAGTCTCATGGAAAACACGCTTTCTGCACCGCTTCCTACTTTGCTCCCAGTTAAATTCGTGAAACTGAACGCTTTTACTCCCCTCTGTTTGGTGGGATGATTTTTTTCAGATAACTAGTGAATTTTCTATCTGATTTCATTCGAGTTACAAATCAGTCGGCGTTAAAAATGATTCTCCGTTCGACTCGGTCCTTCATTTTCAGACGCTTCAGAATTCACCCTCCAGCCACCGCGATATATCAATTCCCTCTTTGCAACGAAGGGGATGATGAATCGCGCGAATCCTCCTGTCCTGCCCTGACGAGTCTCCTCACCCCGCACTTGTTACTCTCTATTGCGAATTGCGTAAGCCTCGAGAATATCGATAGTCTAATAATATGCGACGCGATGCGTTCGTTTGTTAGCGGCGCATCGCATCGGTTCGTGCACGGCTTTTTGCCGTTCCTGTTGTTTGCGGTTTCGGGTGCATTCCTCGCTATTTCCTCCCGACGCGTCTCTCTAGCTTCGTATGCCACTATTCTGACGCGAGAAACCGTTTCTCCTCTCAGCACGCCATAGGGAAAACAGGGATCGCGGTGTATTGGCAAACCCGGTCCCGCCAATTTTAGATGCTTTCCCGGCTTCTTTTTTTCCCTCTGCTCTTCCTCCACCTTGCACACCGCTGATCGGTCGACGCTGCTTTTCGTCTTCGTCCTCTTCTTCTTCTGCCACTGGTCGCACGCGGGTTGCCATTTTATTTTCACGAGCGCGTCCGCTATTTTTGGCTGTTCTAGAAAACCCGCCTGCCTCTCCTTTTTCCGAGTCTTGGCAAGCAGGTTCGAGAGGCGATCGTGCGCGATACGCGCTCGTCGCGAATTTATTTTTATGCATGACTACGAAAAATATTGAAAGGAACCGAGATTGCCAAAAAGCAAGACGCGAGGTCCAGCTTGTAAATTTTTGACGGACGTCCGAGTCTGCCAGGAGGGGGGGTGGAATCTTTCCGCTGTTCCTTTGCCAGAAACTTGAAATTCGTAAACATTGTATCTACTACGTATTCGTATCGAGCCATCCAGCTTTTACTCGCTTCGCGCCATTTCCTCGTTTTTTACCGACGATCAAAATGCAAAGCATTCGCGTCGAAATATCCGATAAATTTCGTAGAGGCACAGAATCGGCGAAAATATTCAATTCGATGTATTTCAAGGGACAGGGTGCAACGGGGTGGGAAATTTATTTAACGCGTCGTGTAAATAACGCGCGCACAGCACACGCCGGGTGAAGCGTTGCACGGATAATGTGTGCAGTCCCATCAGAATTGTGAGTATTGATCGTTTTGTAGTAAATATATATAGTTTGCACTAGCGCGTCCTAGTGTATCCTAATATGTCGATAAATATGGCGGAATAGTGTCCATCGGATGATGACTATCGGGCAAAAGTAGGCACATTTCGTTTCTTCTGCGCGGCGAGCGAGGGGAGCGAAAGGAGGGTCAATGACCTCACGGAAAATCGATCGACTCGAGATCAGAAAGGACGAGGGTCAACGTAGAAATTGCAATCTCGCTAATAACGAATCGCGCGAAAACCGTTCAACTATGAAACACGCAACCCCTTCGTTTTTTCTTTCCTCCGCTTCTCTTCGACCGAAGGATCATCGATCCAAGAATCGAAGAATGCGAAAAATTACCCCCAGCGGTGAAAATTTATATTTAACTTCCTTGTTCACTGCAATTAATCAAGGTTCTCTATTGATAGAATTCCTATAACTTCGGGTTGAATTAGTTAAAAAATTAAAAGTGCTATTCATTATAAACGAAACGAAGTATGAAAAAAGGATCGCAACTGGGAAACGAACGAAGAGAAGATTTCCAAATAGCCGGTAGAAGTGTGTTCGAACGAGTACGCGTGCATCGACGAGGAATACGCAACGTCCCCGTGCGAGGCGCGTCAAGGTGCAGCAGGGGGGTTGCGATCGAATCCCAGGGATCGAGGAAATCTTTTTCGTCGCGCGTTGCTCACGCGTATTGGCTCACCGTGTTTCGTATCCGCGTATTTTCGGACGATTTTCTCCTCTGTCCGTCGCGTGTGAACGATAGAGAGCGGAGAAAGTGAGACGGGAGCAGAGACAGAGAGAATGACTCTTCTCTCTTTCGCTTCGTCGCTCTTCTCTTCTGCCCCTACGCTTTTCCTCCTGCTTTCTCTCGGTCTCTGTCGGTGGCCCGGTGCTCGCCCCTCGGCAACTCTCGCGCGTCTCTGCGGAACGGGAGGCAACGGACCAACGTTTAATGTAAATCGCCACGCACGGGCCGCGCGCGCGCGCCTGTCCGAGAGAGAAAGGAAGAGGGATGCTCGAGAGCGCGAGAGGGTGGCCGAGCGCGAGGGCGAGGACAGGGACGAGGAAACATGCATATGTATAGGTAAATGTGTACCTACGCCCGCACCTCCCTCTTGCACTCGTTCGTTCCTCTCTCATTCTCTCCCTCTCCCCATTCTCTTCATCCTTCTCTTCGATCCTCTCCTTCTCTCCTATCCTCCCACATCTCTTTCACTGGATACTTCCATCCCGTTCGGTGGACGGTCGGCTCTCTTTTTCGTCCTAGCTCCATCCCTGTTCCTCTTCGCGCCACTTCGATCGCTTCACCTTCCTCTCTCCTCGCGCTTTCTTCCTCGCCTCCTCTCTTTCTCCCTCGGTTTCGCGTGACCGTTCTTCATGGACGTGGCAGAGTGGTCCTTTTTTTTTCCCCGTCCTTTTTTCCCCCGTCACGCCCCCAGGCCGACGAGTGATTTTTATAATCTGCTACTTGTTGCGCGGCTCACCGGCGGCCGGCGTGCAGCCCGCCCGGAAAAACCGGAAAATAAAGGAAAACAAAAGCGAGCGGGCCGGCGCGGAGACCGGCTACGTCCAGAGAAGCGGACAGGGTGCCCTGGCCAACGGGCAACCGGGGTGGGAGAATCAGCAGGGTTGGGGCGGGGGAGAAAAAAAAGAAAAAGGCATCGCGGGACCAGCCGACGACGGATGATCAGCGCGCGCCTCTGCACGCTACGCTCGTTTTTACCACCGATTCTGTCCCGTGTCCGCCAATCGGACGGAGACACTTTCCTCTTCAAATTTTTCTTCCAAAGTTCGCTTAATTTCTCGACGAATATTGCCATCTCAGTGATCACTCGAGAAAGATAGAAAGAATAGGATCATAGTCGAGGGGAGGAAGGGAAAAAAGAAACGCGGTGGCGTACGGACGTGGCGCGGAGGAATTATCCCGCGCGCGGCGAAGAGCCGAGAGCGGCGCAAAATGGCTTCCTCCTTTTCAGGAATTATCGCGATGTAGGAAGTCTCGGTGGACGGTGGTGGGGTTGGAGGTGGCCACGAAGCGGCTGTCGGCCGAAAGTTTAAAATAGAATATCTCGCGCGAGTAACTTTCATCGGTCGTCAAAAAATCATACAGTGTCGTACCTAGCGGGGGGCACTGCTTCCCACCCACCACGGCGAAAGAGGCTCGAGAGATTGAGAAAGAAGGAGCAGCGGTGAGGAGAGGAGAGGAGTGAAGGGAGAACGGAGAACGCCGCGGGAAGAACGGTGGAACGAGAAAGAACCGAGGGGGAGAGTAGCCCTCTCCTCTGCACGCCGCGATCCGTCGAGCTCTAGGATAGGCCACGCGGTTCGACGGTGGAAACGCCAGAATGCACGCAGACACATGCACGCGGGCAAACTGTGCCGCGCGCTCGATGCACCGCCGTGCAACGGCGCGACGCGGCAGCGAAGAACCGCTCGCGTGCAAGTGTGTGCGGACCGCGACGCGGCGTTCCGCGAGAATTTACCACCGGTAACTGCGCCCAAGGCAGGAAGTTCTCGCACGGCCGAGGAAAGATATTTCAGAGCTTTTGTTGATCCCGCCGACCGATGCCGTATTAGGAATTACCGAGTCAGGGACGCAACCATACGATCCCGCGCCCATTGGAACCAACTTTTCAATTCCGCGACACGCGACCGCTATGAGAAACTTTCAGGGAGACGTTCGCTTTCCTTCGAACCAGAAGGGGGTGCAACCGTACACGCTGTCGCAACGTTCCGATAGCTTTCCAGTCCGGAAAATACGAAATTTCGCCAAAACGATTGAAGCAGCCTTTGAAAGCGTGGTCGGAGGGACGCGTTGCCGATTTACCGGTCGTGCGGAGAGAGCTCTGATTTTCACTCTCCACGCCAATGAATGACGTAGCGAAGATACACCGCGGCGGCGGCGGACGGCGACGACGACGACGACGACGACGACGACGGCTGCGGCGGCGGGCCGATCCGTTCGCTCATATTCGCTAGAGCTCGCGTTCGCCTAGCCGCGCGCGCGAGTAGAGTACACACGGTCTGATCGAGGGCGCATGCGCAGACGCGTTGCGCGCCGCGACTCGACTCGACTCGCTTCGGCCCGACTTCTCGGCTCTCCGTGGCTCGCCCTCCCCGCCGCCAAGGTGCATGCATGCATTCTATGCGGCGTGCACCGCATTAGATGCATTTCTAAGTCGCGCCGCAATAAATCGCAGAAATATCGAAGTGGAGAAGAGGCCCGCGCGTTCGCACCGAGAGCCTCGAAATCGTGGCCGCGTGACACGCGCGAACGCAACCCGTCTACGAGGACGCGACGCGACGCGACGCGGCTGGACGCGAGGCGAGGCGACCGCATCCAACAGGAAGCAAGCAACACGGGCGTACGAAGAAAAGAGAGAAGGAAAAGGAGACAGCCGGTCGAGGGAACACCGGGACAGAGATACGCTGGCTGCTCGATTTTCCTAGAATCCGATAATCCGGTAAGCGACTCGGGGAGTCTGCTTGCTGTTTCGCGACTCTCTCTCGAGCTACGGATCCCGAGGGAGGAACACGCCGCTACGCAACGCTCGCTTTCGCTACGGACTTCGCTACGGAGATCGTTTTTCGTGGCAGCGTGCGCCGCGTACCTGTACACGCACGTGTAAACCTGGTGACGTCTTCCGACTCGTATCCCGTATAAATCCTTCGCGTTTTCCATCCCGCTACTACCTGGGGTAAGGGCAGTTCGACGTCGCGATCTTTTTCCGTTCTCCTTCCTCTTCGGAACGGACAGGTGAAAAATCGGGACGCGTTGCAGTGATCCGAGGCCCGGAATCGTGATGAACGCTCGTCATTGTCGAATTGGAATAATGATCCACGCTCGTCGTTCAACCGGCAGGAAGTGATAAAGGTTACGTTCACCGACCCGGACGCGCGCTAGCGAGAGAAGCGACGCGAACGCGCGCGCAATTTTCACGGAAAAAGGGCTACCACGGAGCTACGGGAGCACTTCGAAGGAGGAAGAAAAGAATACGACACACTGAGTCACGTGCGAACCAGTCCCTCCCACTTGCGAACGTGGTGCCGCGGATTTCAGTACACGCTGAAAATCGTAACGTCGTCCAACTCGAACAGCTCCGATCGACGTTGTTTAGAGAAAGAAAAAAAAGCAACCAGAGGACCCGGCTGGATCGAGATCGATAAAGAGAAACGAGTGGTAGACACCGAAATACGGTGCCAATATCATCGGGCGCCCCCTCTAGCCGCGAGAAGCGTACAGCCCTGGTGCACGTTTTCACCGATACGGCACACGGCACGGCACTTACGAAAAACTGTACCGCGGAGCTGATCGGAAAGCACACGGCGTTTTTCCACCAGACGGAGAAGACGAGACTCGATCGTACAGTGTGATCGTCGACGTAACGTCGAGTTGAACCGCGGACGTGTGGCCGGAGCGATGCACGCGGAGATCAGTGCTCGTCAGCCAGGGGATCTTTGAAAGAAAACCGGAGAAAGTGGGAAGAATCGGCGCGTTCTTGCATCGGTTACTCGCGATTCTTTGCGAGTCGCTTCGATAAAGAAGTTTGCGCTGCAAACACAGAGGTGTCCTTCCGCGTTTCGTCGAGTTTGCCTGTTTTTCTTTTTTTTTTTTGTTTTTTTTTTTCGATAATTCGGCAACGTTTTTCTCGCTGATAAGCGGCCGCGAGTGAGTGAAACGAACGAAACTGATCGGTCTCGCGAAACAGTGTCGGATGAACTGGAAAGACGGATTGCATCGAGTGGAAGAGGATGGTGACGAGGACGACGGCGAGAAGGAAGACGACGACGACGACGACGGTGACGAATACGATACGGACGATGATAACGAAGGCCTGCTAGGGAAAGATAATTCGTATTCAGGTAACGTCGTACAATAATTACTTTGAATTCTACTAATATCGAGCTTTGTACTATCGTTGCTAACGTCGAAAAGATCCATCGGAACGATCGAAGAAATTTTACATTTCGCCACGATGCATCTGTTCGACGAAATAATTCGTCTTTCTGCGCTAAACTCTAACAAGTATTAATATTGCTTGCTTGCAGAATTCTGACCGGTACGCTTTAGCCGCAAACTAACAAACCGAAAACACGCGGATTGGAGGAAATTTGCTGAACCAGCTCTGGGCACAGAAAACCTTCGCGTTTTCTTCAGTCTTCCAATCGCTGTGTCGCTTCGTAGCGATGCTGCTTTCTCCGTTGCTTCGCTGATCTGGTCGCACGCACGCTTCGTTACTCCCCCACTCGTTCCTCTTCGAAAGAATGAAGGAAATTCAACGGTAAAGATCGCGATGGAAAATTCGCTGGAAACGCGAAGAGGGTATCGAGGATCGAGCGTAAGCGAGCCATGCCAGGCTTTTGCGGAACGATCGATCGAATAGGTGGCGGAAGGAGAGGGTGGTGTACGGAAAACAGGCTGACCGAGAGACGGGGGGAGGGGGGAGGGACAGGGTGTAGCGTGGTGATTAGTTGCAGTGTTTTGGAAAACAATGCACAGAATTTCGCCGGTAATAAATAATAAAAGACAAATAAAGTGTATCATCGGGGATGGGAAAGGGTGATGCGGTGTGCGGACCGTGCGTATGAATAAACAACGCGGCCATATGTATTATACATTATCGAATAAAAACTAAATAAAATACAAGCTAGAGAGGTTGTCTGCAAACTCGAAACATTTGTCCGTCCCTTTATTGTCACCTATTCTTGAACGTACCTGAATCGAAATCTTGACGAGTCCATTGCCCTCTAACGTCTACTTCGTCGTAGAATTAAAAAAAAAAAAGAAAGAAAAGAAGACAAAGTAGCAAGCATTATTGTCCCCTCTTCGGTGTGTAACATGCAAAATATACCTGGCTGGAAACGAGGCAATGTTGCAATTCACGCAACGCGTATTCGATTCACCCCTGTCCCACACCCCTCTTCTCCCCTTCCATCCCACCGAGGGAGCCTCGAATTAAACCCTTAAACAGGTCCGACCTGGTGGCACCTTGAAACGCGTTTGCTACCAAGAGACGAGATAATGTTCGAGCAAGGAGTACGCGAAAAGGGAAGAACGAACGGTCCTCTCGAGGGGGTAGAAATATCGATGGAGATGCTGAAGTAGTAGAAAAACTAGAATGAGAAGAATAATAAAATAATTCCAGATAACTCGATGCTCTTTCCCCTTTGTTAGCCCCCACCTATGGACACAGGGCATCACCGATGGGCTCGCCCTTCCCTCTGGGCCCCGTTCCACCCCCCTTTTTTAAGGCGGCCAGCTGCGGGGTCAGTTTTCGACGGGCGCGCGGCGCATTAAGATGCTACGCTCAAAATTTCTCTTTATCGGCCCGGTGTCATCGTGTCCCGATATCGCGTGAAAATTCGTAATTTGGTTCGTTCACTTGTTCGCTCGTACGCTGCAAGCAACGCAACACCGCCACCATCAGACACCCCCGAAAATTTCCAATGGAGAGGAGGTACGAACGTTGGCCAAAGGAAGAGCGCGAGAGAGAAGGGAAGAAAAAACAGCGTGGCGCGAGAACAACCGCCGGATTGCTTCTGCAGTGATGAACGCGTGATGGATATTAAATGGGTGCACGGTACGCATCGACAGATTAATTCCATTTTCAGCAGGCCCTGCTGCTTTTCACGAGCAAGGTTTTAACAAATACGCGACCGAGCCGCGAGCCAGACGTTCCAAAATATTTAACGTTCCTTTCTGTCTCTTTCTTTCTCCCTTATCCATACCACCTACCCTCGTTTTTTTTTGCTCCTCATTTTATCGTTGCTCGAATTTTCATGAACAAATATTTTCCAATCATTCGCCATTCTCGTACGATGGAACAAGCTGGTCCATTGAAACTTTGCTCGTTCAAGCAACCGAGTGCCCTAATTTTAAGGATTACCGTGTTTACTTGGAAAAATAGTGCGAGTTCATTGAAAAATATCGAAATCATCGAAGGGTTGAAAATTCGAACGGTTTCTCGATACCCGGTCGATAGGTAACCACCCTTCGTTTGACGTGCCAATCGTTTCGCGTCGTGCAAATAATTAATCGCAAATAATGCTGTTTTCCGGTGGAAGTAGCGAGGGTGAGATTCCCCTCGATCCTAAAAACGCCGCGGCTACATCGGCTCGTTTAATTTCGCTAATTTCTTTTCTCCCGTTCAAAGTGTGCTCGTCCGCGAAGCAAGGGTCGTCCTCAGCCCTTCGCCGTTTCCTTCTGTCTCGGCCGCGACAGAACAGAAAGAGAGACAAAGGAGGAGAGTCAGAGACGTTAAAGGGTTTGCGAGAGGTTAAAAATCTCAAGGGGGTGCGAGAAGGGTGGAAAAGAGGGTAGAGGGAACGTCGCAAGGATGACGGACCGGAAAAATAATTACTTCTCGTACGCGGCGAGCGGAAGGTATCTGAAACCGCGAGAATAATTGCGGGACTCTGGCGAAATATTTTGACCGAGGAAAAAAAGGAAACTGCGTTTCAAAAATGAAATTAATTTGCACGGTAAAAGATCGCCGAGTGGGCTAAGAAAAATATTAGGAAGCAAGAAATTAATAAACAAAGGAACTTTTCTAGGAATGGAAATTGAAATTAAAAGATGAAACTGCCACTGTGTTCTATTTATTCTACGTTTCATTAAAGAAGCTCGAGGTTGAGCGAGATGCTTGGCAAGTATCGATCCGCGAAAACAATGGCTTAGCAAATTGCGCAAAAGTACGGAAAAACGTTCCCAAAGAATTCTATTATCGTTACCACTGATTGAATCGGCCCAATCATTATCCGGAAATTGGATCTTCTTGTTCCTTTTTAAGCGACAAAAACTTCTCTCTCGTTTTCTTATCACTGAATTACCTATAAAAGTTCCGAATAACAGGTTCCTTGTCAGGGTACAATTGCATCCCTCGATTCGAGCGTGTCTATTTTCATCCCCCGACTCTTAGATTAAATGAAATTTTCTTCCAAACAAATTGCTTATCCTGCACGCGCGTATATCTTTTGTACATATTAAAAGAAAAGAAAAATGAACTCGAGCGTTATTGATTAAAACAATCGAAGAGAATTCGTCTTTCTGCGAGAAGAGTGTCGAGCGAAAGCGTGAAGAACGACGGACAAAGATAGCCGGCGATCCTAAAAGGGGACAGAGCGACGAAGAGAGGGTGGATCGTCGGCGGGAAAAGATGGCGTAAAAATGGAGGGTGAAAAATACGGAGTGGGATGGGTTCCTGTGAATCCCCACCCCCGTTCTTCTCTCGACACTCCTTTTCGGCTGTTCCACTGGGAATACAGCCGCTCGAAAGATCTCAAAATTCCGCATCCCTCGGGCGGGTAGCAACTTTTTAAGACTCTTCCATTAGCGAGGCGTAATGGTTGATGGATACTGATTGTTTAGTCGCATCATTTACAAATGGAAATCGCACTTAGAAGCGGCGTGACGGTTCATCGAAGAAAGGATTTTCCTCTCAAGTATTTTTAAATTTTTCCGCTTGTCGGAGAAACAGTACGCGACCAGTTTGGCAAGACAATAATTCGCAAAAGATTCAACTCGGTATCGAATCGGAAAAGCGGAAGATCTAATTTTACAAAATATTCTGACATTCCGAATAATTCAAGGCTTCGTGCGAGGCTAGCAGGTAGACGGGTGTGTGTGGGGGAAGGCGGCACCGAGTTAAAACAAACATTTTTGCGCGTGCGAGCTTCGGCCATAAAGCTCTGCCCGGCCAAATGCATTGGCCGGCAGTTGCATAACACTCTAGAATAGCTTCGGAAAATGGTGGACCTTCTCTCGCGGCTGGCTTTTTCTTTTTCGGTCTATGCTAGCTGTTCTGCGTCTCAATACCAAGAATTCTCATCCTCCCTTCCCTCGCACCTCATCTCCTCCTTGGATTCCTTTCCGAATACGCGTTTCTTTCAAAAAAAAGAACGATTTTTTCAGAATAGACCATCTGCAACGATCAAATTTTCCTCGCGTTTAATTGTTTCCCTCTCTTAACAATGCGGACGTATAACCGACACGTTTACTATTTTCAAGCTTAAAACAACTTTGTACCGCATTGAATACAATGCTTTATTTATCTTGGCGAGAAAAATGACAATACTGAACGTCAACTAATAACTTGTCAGGCATCGTGCAGACTTTGGATTGTTGTCGCATCCAAGAGCCAAAGTTTGTTCGAGAGAAACACGTGGTTCAGGTTTTATCGTCGCGATTTTGATCCCCGATTACGCGTTGCGCAACGATAGGACCGCTTAAAAATAGCACGCGAAATGGCGGATATCTTTTGGAGGGCTTGAGAGAGGGACGTTTGTAGAAGCCAACACTCCGATGTCTCGAACATTGCGAAACGTAAAACCGCGTGGGTAATGAGAATCACTTTTAAAGAAAAAAAGATACGATTCCATGGCGGGTCGATCCCTTTCGAACACTGTCTGAGGCAATTAAAATTATTTATTAAAAGGCACCGGTCGAAAGTAAACAGATAGCGCGAGCAGAGGGTTTGGTGAAGAGGCGCGATCCGATTAAAATCTAATTTTTCACGGATACTCTCTTAATTAAAACATTAAATTGATTGCGGCGTGAGGCTGAGGTGGCAAGGGTGCAGTAGCAGCAGCGGCTTCTCGAAGCGGGACGAAGTTACGAGAGACAGGATCGGAGAAAAAGAGAGGAAAAGACGAAGAGGTTCGCGCGAAAATAAATGAAAATGAAATCAATTATAAAACTGTTTGAGGAGACTCCGAGCAGCAGCCAGAGGAGCCGATGGATGGATAGACGGATGGATGGACCGGTATGGGTCGATCTTGAATTTTCTTAATTAAAAATCTACAGACTTTGCTTTCAATTAAAAACCGAAATGCCGTGGCTCGTTCGTTACCGATTCCCTGGTTTC